AATTTTTGATATCTTTTGGGAAAATCCGTTGTACACGGAGTTCTAACTTATTTTGAGTTATTGAGAAATGTACACCCTTGGAGGTGATTTTTATTGAGTTAAATATTTTACTCTGATTTATGTGAAAAATGAGCCTTTTAATTGTGGGTAGAAAAGGGTGTTACAGTAAACGTGTCGCCACCTGGCTCACGAGTACCCCTACTCATAGGCCATAATTATGCATTAAATGGATCTGACACGCGACTCAAGGAGACGAAACGTTGTCTCTTCAAGGAGCAGAGTCAAACTCTCAACGCGAGCATAGGTCAAGCTCTCGACCACAGTCCCTGCGTGACACATCTAGCTCATGAGTACCCCCTACTCATAGGCCATAATTATGCATTAAATGGATCTGACATGCGACTCAAGGAGACGAAACGTTGTCTCTTCAAGGAGCAGAGTCAAACTCTCAACACGAGCATAGGTCAAGCTCTCGACCACAGTCCCTGCGTAACGCATATAGCTCACGAGTACCCCTACTCATAGGCCATAATTATGCATTAAATGGATCTGACACGCGACTCAAGGAGACGAAACATTGTCTCTTCAAGGAGCAGAGTAAAACTCTCAACGCGAGCATATGTCAAGCTCTCGACCATAGTCCCTGCGTGATGCATCTTTCTCGAAGGCAAAATTCAATGAGTCACGAGCAAAGCATCATCTCGTGGACGCACACTCACGAACAGCGTCCACAGCGGCACGAGCTCACAATCGCGAATCCTAAATGAAGGTTCTCCTCGACACACGAACTAACTCTAAGTCATTGATCCCATGCCTGGGGGCAACGACTTGGGGGCTCCTGTTCTAGATTGGCCATGTGGCTAACCCAGCGTCGAGTACAACCCAATACAGTTCTACGTCGAGGACGACCCAGAGTGCTGGTCCAACCCGTTAAGGTCAGCGGATAACACGTTCCCCTCACCCGAGGACACGTTGCCAACATACCCGCAAGGCTCATGAAACCATTCTTCCCTTCATAACGGACAAGTCTATTCATTATCTAAGGAGTGTGGAACGGTGATCCACGACGATGAGCACGGGATGCTCATCCCTACTTACACATGAAAGTCCTGGTAGTCATCCATTGTGGTTCTGAAAACTCAACCCACAATGGAGACCATTAGCCAAGTGTTAGGGGCTCACTATAAAAGTTTTTCTCTGCATGAGGGTCAGATATTTTATTCTTTACTTTTTCTTACTCACCACTTCATCCGAACTGACTTAAGCATCAGAGTGTCTGTAGGTACACCCCCCCCCCCCCCCCCCCCCCCCCCCTTTTCCGTCGACCATTCAAGACTGCGAATGTGTTACTAATCACTCACTTTCTGATCGACAGGTTAGATCAGTTAAATTATTCTCTTTTTAATCATTTATCATCTTGTTTTTATCTTCTTTTTAATTTAGGAGGATTAATTTTTAATGCATCCTGTTTTTCAGAAAGATATTTAAAATGTGTGTGATTTGTAACAAATACAAATTTTAATTGGAAATAATCAAAATGACTATAATACTTCCTGTTAAATATTTTAACTAATCATCCAATGTTTTAATGAAATTATAATTTTTTTTAAACGTATCATTTGTCTAAAATATTTTTTTTAATTAAAAATAACTTTTTTGGTTATATATTTTTTTTCTTTTATTTTTTTTAACATAATTTGTATTATTTGCATTTTATATTAGCAGCAGTCTTGCATATAATGGGTTATTTTCCTCCAATTGAGTAACCATGCTTTATGCATGTTTAATACAAGTTTATTCAATGACAATGAGTGAGTTAGAGAAAGGCATACCAAAATTTTTTAAGTGTGGACAAAAATTTAAAGATCGCAAATTCACATTGTATATAATATATAAAAAATTATCAATCAAAATAAAAGATCTTTAATTAAATTTATCTAGACAGAATATTAAAACTAACATAGTCATATTCAATTTGAGGTGGATTCTAACATAAAACATCATTTCATGTGATTCATGAAATTAGCAGCAAGTTAACTAAATTTATAAACTAAATTTTATTTGCCACTTCAGCAACATTATCTCCGTAATATTAATGATTATAAAAGTATGAGACATACTATGTTCCAACCACTCTTTTTGTTCTTGCTTGGATTTCATCTTCTCCAAATATTCTAGCCATACCAAAATCTAATATTTTGGGATTCATTGCAGCATCAAGGAGAACGTTGCTGGCTTTTAGATCTCTATGAATTATTTTCAGCCTTGAGTCTTGATGAAGATATAAAATACCTCGAGAAAAAATCCCACAAATAATTTCAAAACGCTTACCCCAGTCCAATGATGACCTTTGGATTTGATCTGAGTTGAACAAATGAAATTTCCATAAATTGAACATATTGAGAAACCTTAATTGCATATTGAGCTTAAATTCATAGGAGTTTATCAAAATATGCAACGGAAAAGGAAGATAATTTGTATTATTTGCATTTTATATTAGCAGCAGTCTTGCATATAATGGGCTATTTTCCTCCAATTGAGTAACTATGCTTTATGCATGTCTAATACAAGTTTATTCAATGACAATGAGTGAGTGAGTTAGAGAAAGGCATACCAAATATAAACAAGTCTAGACTTTTGTTTGGTAGGTACTCATAAACTAGCATTCTTTCTTCTTTCTCAAAGCAACAACCAAGCACAATCTCACTAGATTCCTGTGTTGAAGTTTTACTAAAAGTGTAACTTCGTTTTTAAACTCTTTTTTGCCTTGACCTGAATCTTTAGACAATCATTTCACTGCTATCTCTTGTCCATTTACCAAACAACCCTGAAATATTTATTTGAAATGAATGTAAAGAGGTGAAGGATGTTGTCACTTACTGCATGATTAGCTCAATATTGAGTTTAAGTTACCTTATAGACAGAACCAAATCCACCTTTCCCTAGCTTATTCTCATAGACTAAAATTCCTTGTAGCCGCTGTTATCATTCTAAAGCTGAAAAAGGGTAGATTTTGATGTGTGTTGCTTTGAGCACCGTTGTCTTCTCAAGAAGAATCTTGGTTTAATTGCCGCATCAGTTTATCTGCAACTTACAAATGGAATGAGGTAAGATTTCAATCAACTTACAAACTTTGAAGTGTATATTTCTTCTTGGCTCTCAAAAAAATCTTAGATTATACATCTATCTAGTTGAAACCTAAGAAACTAGTAGGACACTGCCTTAGAGTCTCAGTCTGGAAATTTCAATGAAATACCATCCTTAAAAATAGATCACATGCCTTTTCTATTTTTATCCCACATCCAATACACATAGGAAAAGAAGAGGAAAATTGCAACTAAACAGCTATCAGAATTGCAGCCATCCTCTTTTTATCAAGCACTCCTTTGCTCTTTTTTTTGTAGTAATTAGCTGATAATAAGAAATAAGTCCAAAGAAGTTCAAACTGCATCTAAACTGCATCTAAACCATCTCTACTCTCATACCAATCATGTGGAAGTTTTGGTTCAAAACCAAGTACACATTGTACTGTTGGTCCAGACCAGTAACGGTTCCATTGACTCTTTTGACTGTAACGGTTCCATTGACTCTTTTGACTGTCCCACCTTTGTGCTCGAAAGAAACCAGATTGTTGAATCACTATCCTTGTAATGACAGACTTATCAAACATGTTAAATGAGAGTGCTGAATAGTTGTCATCTTCAACATAAGAAACGTTATCGTTTCATATTCGGTACACCTGCAAATAGTTCTCCATTCCATGGTCCATCGCGCCACCAAGGAAGGTTCCGGTTGTACATAAACGGCTGAGGTTTGCCAATGGTGCTGAATTTAAAAGTAAACACACCTTTTCCAGGGTCCTCATCTGTCTTCCATGATTGAAGGAACCAGCTTTGATTAGTTTTTCTATCAAAACCAACCTTTAGATATGGAAGCATGGTGTCTGTGGGATAATTAAAGCTTTCCCATATGACAGTTTTGGTGTTGTTTAGCATTAGAACAAAGTTTGCTATATCCGATAGTTGAGCTATAACAACACTGGTGCTATTTGTTAGTGATTGTGCTAATGAAACATCGGTTCTTTTTTCCACTTATGATCTCCATTACAAGTGATTGTCTATGGTTTTTTGATTAGGTCAATTAGTTTGTCTATAAGGACAACGTATGTAACACCAAGATTCGAATCATAATTACCGCATTTCTTTTCCAACAATTATAATAACATTGCACATAAAATCAACACCAATTTAATAAATTGGAAAGACAAACATACTTAAAACAAGTAATAAATTGGAAAGGAACTCAATTCTGTTTTTTTAAAGAATAAATTGGACCTCCGCTCTTAAAACAACAATTTAATAATACACAAGACTAGAACATACTTTTAATCTCCATATTGATATTAATGAGAAATTAATTGTCTTTCAATTTTTAAATTCGTACATTGATTATCTTTATTTTTGATGATGTCACCATACCGGCAAAACTCTCCACTATTTTTCATGCAGGTGATCTTTGTCTCTGAAAGAGGTTATGAGATCTCATGAGGCTGAAAAATTCAACTTCACTACATAACACAGCTACAGGTCAAGTTCTCAATTTCACGAAAGCAACATAGCATACTTCAATCTTAAAAACGAAGGCTTCTAAATGAAAAAAAAAAAAGTAAAAAAGGAGAGTGCACTTTTTATATAATAAAAAAACGAGGTATTATTGACTGCAGGTAAAACATAACATTGCTCATAAGCCATATTACCTAGTGAAATAGGCCTTGCTCCTATCAAAGTGTCAGTCATCGCCATACCATGGTAACATACCAAAAAGGCACGTAAATACCATGCTCAAATATTCCTCTAGCTATAATAAATAAATGATCAAACATAAAGAATTTCAAGTTGAAATTTGGAGGCTAGTTAATCAGTACTATGGTAAGCTTAAGCTGCATTTCCTTGATACAAAGTGTCAGCACTTCGTTGTGTAATCTCGAGTAATGCAAATCCTCAGTTATGCATCTTGGGCTCATCCTCTTTCTTCAAATCATCTAATATCCCACCAATAAACTTGTCTTTGTCAGGTGAGGCTGAGTCAACAACAAATGAATACTTATGAGATCTTTGTTTTTCTTTGTTTGAAAGGATACCGTGGATACCCTGTTTCGAGTCTGGGGCTGAATTTAAGATGCCAAGCAGAGAATTCCCCAAGACATCGATGTTTTCGGATTTCTTGACACTATTCTCTTCTTCCTTGCTGCTGTGCCAGGAATCCAGAGCTTGCCAAAAAGAACTGTCTTGCTCATCATATTTTGGCTTTACTTGATCTTCTGATTGAGTTGAACCAGAGTTATCTCCTTCAGATTCAGAAGAATCATAATCTGAGACAATGGGTTCGTAATCGGGATACTTTGGTGTATTCAGTTCGATGGTTTTTTGAGTTAAATTTGATTCCAGATGATTCTGACTAGAATTTTTAAGAGAAACAGGACCTAATTCCTCCCAAGGAGATTCCGTGTTATACTTTTCTGGGGTTGTATCAGATGATTCATTATATGAGTTGAATTTTTCATGACTAGCACTGGTTGCTCGAGTTTTGAGGATAGAAGTGTCTGAGTCAGAAGCACAAACTGCAGGAGTAGAAGGGTAAATGTAAGTGGAGTCTAATTGAACCCCAGGCATTATCTGTATCAGGTATGCCATCTTCTGATAACCAAGCTTTTTGATGTCAAGGTGATAGCCATATTTATCAGCAAATTGTTTTCGAAAACAGCCTATATTATATCCCTCTGGGTGTTCCCTCAATACATCAGATACCAGTTTCTGACAATCTTGTAATATATCATTTCTAGACTTCTCAGTATATTTTGTTTCAGTGGCAGGTCTGGAAACTGCAGTTTTCTGAGTACTCTGAGAGTGTTTCTCCCCTTCATGTTCAAATGACTTTTGCATGTTGGACTGCGATGTTCTACTTAGAAACAGAGATCTCAAACGACTTGTACCATTAGACTGGCCCTTCAGCGTGCTCTTCCAAACTGATTGAGTTAGCCTAAAAGGAAATGCTTTTGAGGGGCTCTCCTCCAACCATTTTTTTTCTGCTATCAACAGTTCCACCAATTGAAAGATATCATTTTCAGCAAAAGACTTGAGAGTCATGGGTCCATGCTTTTGTAGTTTATGAGCCAAATCCTCCCTGATACAAAACATTACTAAGTTAATCTGTTAAAAATTAGCCAAATAATAATCTTTTAAGAAACTATATGATACAATAGATGTATTGCATTTTTTTCTTCAGCAGTCGGGGCTCAGATTAGAACAAGGAACGAAATAACACAGAAAAAGGAAAAATATCACACAGACCTGCTTCTAGACTGGGAAATAAGAAGTGATCCTTTGGGGGTGAAAACAAAAGATTCCATGTCATTCCAAAAGGAACCACTAGAAAATAACTCAGGGTTTCCGGAATGAATGACATCCTGGTGTGGTTCTAATGGCTTAGGCTTTTCAAGATTACTAGCAGTTTGGTCTAGTTCAGGTAACTTGGAACCCTCGTGCTTTCCAGAATGACTGACATAGTGCTGCTGTTCTAATGGCTTGGGTTCTTCAAGATTGCTAGCAGTCATGTCCAGTTCGGATAACTTGGAATCCTCTAAATTACTAGTCACCTTTTTCTGATAAACAGTAGAATCATCAGCCTTTACATTGCTTTTCTGAAATGGCCACCAACTTTTAATCCAGCTAAAGAAAGTTGATCTTTTGCTGTAAGTTTCAGGATGAACATCGGGTCTTTTGTCAACCAAAGAGTCATCAACTGCTGAAGAATATGGGCTGTGATCATCAACCTCCTTTCTAGGTTGATCCTCAAGTTTGTTCTTTGCTATAGATTTTCCAGATTCACAATTTACTAAATCATTGTTTACCCTCATTGTGTGATCAGTACCAGCAGAGAGTTTCCCTAAAGTGGTATATTTTTCAAGAACTTTTGGACATACATCCGCAGACCTAACAATTTCATCATCAGAAAACTTCATAGATCTCACTTTAAAGGAACCAATCTCATTTTTGTAAACATCATTGTCCTTTGATGAAAGTTGACTCTCTGACAATTGTTCATGAGACACATTCAGAACCTTCTCACTGCCTACAGATGATTTATGTGACACATTTTCTTCAATAGGTTTTCCTTGTGAAGGTATAGATTGGAGTGATTTCAAACCATCCTCAGTGATCCTTTCATGCACTGAAGACTTCGAGGGAGTTCTATGTACGTCTCTATTCATGTCCTTATCCTCACTGTGTACCATTGAAGTTGTTGTATAGCCAAATGATTTATGTGACATGTCTTCCTCGATAGGTATTCCTTGTAAAGAGATAGATTGGCTATTTATGTCTTTATCTTCACTGTTTAGCTTTGGAGTTGTTGTACAGCCCTTCTCCTCATTTTTAAGAGGAGATACAGTCGATAAAGCAGTGCTGCTTTCAGAAGGTTCATGGTTTGCTGAGGGGATCAAATACACACAATAATTACCATCTTTTAAATGCCGGAGTTGTACATGGGGTATTGATGATAGAAAGCGGGAAAACCTTTTATATCCAAATATGCCTTTACCCAAAGAGACATCATATTTTGTCAGCTCTGCACGAAGTTCTGAAATGGTGATACCTTTTGGATGTAAACTCAATATATTCTTAATCCGACTTATAACTGACTTTGGAACTCCTCCACCTACCTTTAAGTCTGAGGAGGGATCATTGATTTCCGTAACGTGTATATTTTGTGAAGATGTTGACTGCTCTGAGGGGGTTTCAAGAGGCACGGGAAGATGGTTGAAATGTTTTCCAGTTAGATCTTCTCCCTTGAGCAAAGATGTCCACTGCCACCTTATAGTTGCTGCACTGCGGAGAACATCAGGAGCCTTTCCAGGACTTGCAAGCAAAATATTATAGTTATTCATTCTTAACCGGTGCAATATGACAGCAAAATCTTTATCACCAGATATAAGAAAGAAATGTGCAGGCGGAGGATTTTGTGAAACCCAAAACATAAGATCAACAAGAAGAGATCTATCAGCACTATTCCTTCCACCTGTAACGAACAACATAATAATTTGAAAAGACAAAAATTTAGATGAATGAAACACTCCAGAAAGTCATATAGCAAAACGAACAACATACTATTACATCATTGATTTATTAGTTGAACCGCCATCTTAAATATGAAATGGCATGCTTGATTTATTAGTTGAACCGCCATCTCAAATATGAAATGGCATGGAACTGCTTGTAGCATAGAAAAAAGAGGATAAATTACACATCACTCCATCCAAGGTTCTACAAAAATACAAAAATAAACTCGTGCAATAATTAATAAACCCTCCCAATTAAGACCTATGAGGCACAGACACACAACACATCAACACACAGGTAATTATTTAGAAAAAAAAATGAATAAACAGGAGGTAATCACGAGGGTCAGTGTGTCACTAGCAGCCTCTGACACAGATACAACTGCGCCTTTTTTCTTCTGAAGTGTCGGTGCAGCATTACTATTATAGTCTTTCTGAAGTCTCGGTGCAGCATTACTATTATAGTCTCTCTATTTATTATTTATTTTCTATGAGGCACGGACACAACACAGGAAAAAAAAATGAATAAATAGGAAGTAATCACGAGGGTTAGTGTGTCACTAGCAGCCTTTTTTTCTGAAGTGTCGGTGCAGCATTACTATTATAGTCTTTCTATTTATTTTCTATTGCCATAGACAGAAATTGAATATCTAGGTTTAAATATTAAAGCAAAACCAACAAATTATTAGAATTCGAAATAAGAGAGTGAACTGAAACGAACCCTTGGGAATGTGGGTAAGATGAATCCCAGTGAAAGCAAGTGCCTCCTGATTGGGCCTCGAAAGCTGATAAACATCGCCGAACGCGGTGATATGAACAGGACCTTTAATTCCATTAGCTCTAACTGCGTCGGTGATAGCAGGTGCTACTTTGGAACCGTCAACACCAGAAGGTACGTTGCAGTTCTCGAAATCCCACCACACTGAAACCCTAACATTTGGTGACTCTTCGTCGTGACTCTTCCAATGAGAATACAGAGTACGAGAAGATGAGAATTCACAGAGTTGAAATCGAACCAGAAGCGTGCGAGATTGCGAGGGTGAGCATGAAGAGGTGAAGAACAGAAGATTCTTTCGGAGAAGATGATTCATCCTTGGGAAGAAAAATGGATGCAGTGGTTGTTTGTTGCAGCTGGGTTACTCCATCTGCGTGAAGTGTGGTAGAAATAAAAATGGAAGGGTTTTAGGAGTTTGGAGGAAAAAACTAAAATCCTAGCATTTTTCGTTACAATTTGGGATTTGTACCAAAAACTTGTTGGGTTTATTAATTTGGGCTTAGAGCTCTAATCTAATATGGAGTTTCACGTGACACCCCTAATTTTTCTTAATATTAGAAATATTCCTTTCTTTTTTTTTTTATTAATAAAGTGCTAAAAAATTTTCTCTTTTGCGCAGAAAATTTGGTAGGGCAATCAAAAACTATGGTATGTATTTTTATATGTATTTTCAAAAATATTGATGTTTGACAAATTTTACTGGTTTTTTTTCAAAAATTCTAGGAAATGTTTGATTTTTTCAATGACCTTAAAAAATATGAGCGTTAATTTTCAATGGTTGAGATTTTGTCGATACTTTTATAGAGTTGTGATTGTATCGACAGTTTTGTGTGGTTCATAATAATTTGAAACTTGTATAAATATATATCATATGTTATTAACAAAAACAGTAAAACACCTCACATTGTCTCAGTTTTGATATCTTACATTTGTGTACTTCAATGACATGAACATTCATTTGATTTTAAGCTCACAGAGGACACTCTTGCATAAGAACTAAGATCATAATTTAGGTACCTAAATATTTTTGGATCCTTTAATGTTTGTTTGACATGAATTCCCTTTAGATTTTTCATGAGGATCATAATTACAAAAAATGCATTAGACGTGTTTTTATTTTATGTTCGTGATCCTTTCTATAAAAACATGGGATTAATGTAGCCATTTTTAATACAATAATTATATTTAAGGGTTTTGAGTTTAGAAGTTTTATGATCATGGCAAATTTTGTCGAATTTCTTAACATTATTCGCTGGTTCATAACATAAGTCGACATTATTGTACGATGTTATTTGATTTTCATGAAGGATATTCTAGTTGTCTCTTTCTTTAGTGAACCTTTCAAGCGTGTTTTGTAAACCTTTATTTTCATTTTTCAAAGTGTTGCATTGATTACATTTATCAGATTCAACCAACTCTTCATCGAAGTGGGAAAGACTTGAGTTGGAACATTTTTTTCTCTTTCTAAGAGATTCCATTTCTTGCATGAGGTTTTAATTTTCAATTTCAAGGAAGGATGCAGTCTCTTTAAATTTTGAGACAATTTGTTTCAACTTACTTATTTATTTGTTTAAATTCTTACAAATTTGAAATAAGTCGTGATAAGAAAAGTGAGAAGTTATCTCGTAATCTTTGTGATCTTTTATGGGACATATGCTTGCTTTTTTCGTCTGAGGAATCCATATAATTGTCATCTCAGGCGATGTAAGTTTTCTTTTCTTCCTTCTGAGATTTCTTTTTCTTTTTTTTATTTTGATCTAGTTTCTTATTTAGGGAGAATTTTGATCTTATATGTCTTTCTTCCTACATTGAAAGTATATTAGAGTGAATGTTGATTTTCTCTTGCTTTTACTTTGTCCTTCTTGTTGTCTTTCATGCTTCATGAATCTCTTGAAGTTCTTCATTATCAACGATATTTCCTCATCAAAGGGGTTAAAATACTTATCTTCTTCAACCTTCAGAGCTAGACTTTTCTTTTATTTTTCTCATTCTTCATTATCAATGAGTCTTTTTAGCTTCATCTCATGTTCCAACAATTTACCAAATAAAGCCACGTCCATGGTTGACAAATCCCTAGATTTTGAAATTGTTGTGGCTTTTGGTTACCAACTGAGGTTTAGGAATCTAAGGACTTTTACAATCAATTTTGAAATTTTGAAATTTTTTCCCAAGAGTTCTCATGTGACTCATGATATGAGTAAATCACTTTTGAATGTCATATATGTTCTCTTCAAGTTTCATTATGAAGAGTTCATATTAATGGGTCAATGTGTTCAACCTTGACCTTTTTACCTCAGTAGTATCTTCATGGGTAACTTGGAGAATATCCTACATTTCTTTTGCATTTTTGCAGTGAGAACGCACACAATAACTCATCAAGATCGAGAATGGTAGTGATGATTATTTTTGCTTTCAAACCACGTTTCACCTTTTCTTTCTCGTCTTTGGTCCAATCATCTTTATTTTCTTTGTTAACCAAAACCTCATTAACTTCGTGTGCAGGAACAAAAAGACTTATTTCATAACCTTCCAATACCAAGATTCACCCCATCAATGAAGATTATCACATTCCCTTTCCACAAACAATACCCATTATCCATTAAAGGATGATGGTTCGTTTAGTGATCGCCTAAATTTATTTCCTTCCTCTTAGGACGATTAGTCTTTAACAGGATTTAGACTCTGATGCCACTTGTAGAAAAAATGACTCCAAGTACAATAGGGAGGGGAATTATGGTATTTAAAATTCGTTATTGATTTAAGATTAATCACTAAAAATAACAGTTTGTAAAATAGAGATAAAAGCAACATAAAATAAAAGAAAAGAAATATAAATGACGGTAAATGATTGAAAGTAAATAGAGAGGAATAAGAGACATTGCACTAGGATTTATTGAGGTTTGACCGACCTCTTCGCCTAATCCTCTCCCGAAGAAAAAAACTTCTTGAGAGTTCCACTAATAAAGTCTTTTTATTTTTTGATAGATTTATGCTTAAAAACCTTATTACAGTCATCTGAGAGATTTTCACAGGTTGATCCTTCAAACCAAGTGGAGCTTTACACAGGCTAAGTTCACAAACTAAGAACGATATTTTAACTGACTAATATTGGAAACCAAACAAAGGTTTTGTAACAAAACCTCCATAAACAACTAAGAGGGATTTCAAGAAAATCACACTTTTGATAAAATAGTTGATTACTAGTACAACTAAAACCTCAAACGTGTTTCACTCACAAAGGCATTAAGGAAACTTTTAGTGAAACAAAGAATATAAGAAAGAAAGGTTAAAAGAGAGAAGAATGATTTAAAATCAAATTTTCGTGTGAGAAAAGTGTGGAGGTGTCCTCCTTATATAGTAGAAAATGTAGTTGTATTTGTCAAAAAGAACAGGGGATGTGTGTTCCTCCTACAAGGGCATGGAGATTCATAGGCCTTAGTACGTATATTACAATTTGGTAAGCGAGGGCTTACCCATGGAGGTAAGAATTAGTGTATGGTGTTTGTTGAGGTTATTTGAAGAACAAACTCACTAGAGGTGAGAGGCCATGTATGGTGGTTGGCGCTACTAGAGTGCAAGCAGACAAGTGGGTTGATAAGTGACCGGTAAATTAGCAAGTGTACTAATTTTATCGATGTAGTAATAAGGGAAAATTCCCCGAATATCAATCTCTGAGGACTACGTGTGAATACAAGTTCTATACTAATGCAATTGAACAAAAATTCATAAAGGTTTTGGTTTGGTTCTTTAAAAATATAAAGGCCAGAAGGCAAAATCAGTAAAATAAAGGTTTTGGACAGTTATGAGAAGCATGCTATTGCTAGGGTAGGGTGTATGAAAAAACCTTGTAATAACCTTGATCCTTAATTTTCAGAAATCACTGTTCAATTCAATCATTACCGGTTTTAAAGATTAGTTGACTCTATTTCCTTAGCAGAAAACCCTTTGGCATTCTCCCTATGCCCCAATTCCTTGGCGGTATAGGGACAATACCAAGCAATATATTTTACCTAAAACATTACGGTTACTATAGGGTATCCTCATTCCTAGGCGATATCTACTATAGTATTATCGTATACACGCGTTAACACTTGTTTTTCCAAACATAAGGTTAATCGTAAATCATATTCTCATTTGTCAAATAAGAAAAGCCATAAAACATTATACGATAACAACGATGATTAGAAAGCAGTGAAATATAGAATTCAAGAAACCGAAGGTTATTACAGAGTCAATTCAGGGACACTCCCCTAGCATTGAGGGGTTTAGCTACTCATAATAATAAAAATAAACTCAACAATAAAATACAACATTACAAGAGAATTGGTTGCTTTGATCTTCAATCGCTTCCGCTCATGAGGACCCCTTCAGTTCCCAAATCCTTGATCGCTCAAATCTTTATCGTCAAATTTCTTTTCAGTTCAAAAGTCCATTTTCCTTTCTCCAAACACGTATCAAATAGTCCCAATTCAAACTCAGCACTAGGGAAATGCCCCAAATACCCTCGAGGATCACAAGAGTCAAAAATACAAGAAAAATAGGGGGAAAAGCGCTTCCTGCAACACAGGCCGTGTCAGGCAACACGGGCGGTCGTGTTGGCTTCCTGACACATTTTTCGCGTGAAATTTTCAAGTCTCAGGTGTCCTGACACGGGCCGTGTCACACAACACGGGCACCCATGTCAGGCCACTGTTTTCCACCAAAAATCACCTTTTCTGAGCACATCCTGACACGGTCTGTATCACACAACACGGGCACCCGTGTCAGGCCCTTGTTTTGAATCTGACTTTGACTCCAACACGAAAGTTGTAGCTCTCTCTCTTAGCTTTCCTGCGGTTTTTAGAACGCCTCAAACGAATTCCCGGAACTCCAGTTATGATCGTTTCCGTGCAGACGGCTAAAGATTTCACAACAAAACTCTTCCGAAATCTTGTTATTTTCCCCCGGTTTTCGCTCTGCTTCTCCTTTATTGTATATCTGAACCTAGAAACAGTAAAAATACCAAATCGACGCGTAAAATATAATAAAAACAACTAAAATGCGACAAGACAAAACAAATGATTAACTGAAATAAACGGTAAAATAACGTATAAAAATCACCGATCAAACTCCCCCAAACTTAAATCATTGCTTGACCTCAAGCAAAAAACTTGGATAAATAATTTTCAAGTCAAACAGCACATCAAGTGAAGGGTTCAAGGTGTAAGGCGTGTCAATGGTCATACGTGAGTCTTAGTTCCGATAGGCTCAAACCAGCTCTCTCGGTACTCATCCTTTAACGAAGGCATTACATAAACACATACCGTAGTAAACTTA